CGTCCTCCTCCTCTTCTTCTCCTTCTCGATCGAGGTAGATGCCCGCGGCAGTTCTGGCCGCCTTTCCAGAGATTTCTGTTTGAACAGCTTTTGTTTTTGATAGGTTTCGGTCTCCAGGGGCCGCTGCTGGGCCCCGGGGTTTTCAAAACCGGACGGCCCCGGGGCGAGAAATTGCATCAGCGGACCCGGGGGAGAGGTTCGGGGAACGAGCTTGTGCGGAGTAGCCCGTCGGATTCGGGAGGTTTGTTGTGGTGGGGTGGGGTCTGGGCCCCCCCCCTGTCGCCGCGGCTGGATGCACTCGGGACAAAGATTTCGATTGCATTCCGGGAAGGGCCCAGGGGGCCCATGGTGAACGATTTCTGCGCGGGGAAAACAAAAAGAAGCGTTGTTGCAGAGTTTCGGTTGTTTGTGAGGTTGTTTCGTGGTCTTCGTCGTCGAAGGGCCGCCTCCGGGGTCATTCGGGGGCAGCGTGGATCCCCGCCAGGGCCTCTCGGGTGCATTGAGGTGCCCTTTCGTGTTTTCTCGGGGCGAAGTGCCCGATACGTTTTCAAACGTCTCGGGGGCCAATGGTGCCGTCTGGAGGCAATCTTGGGCGGTTTGGACGGTATCGTCCCCCGCGTGGGACGTCTGGGCAGCCTTTGGGGACCCTGTTGACCTGTTTTGGAGCCCTCTTGGGACCGTCCTGCGGTTCTCCCGGGCCGTTGCTATGGTTTTTGGAGCCTGCGTGGATCGCCTGGAAGCCGTCGTGGAGCCTTTTTGGGCTTCTTGGGCCGGTGTGGGCCGCGTGGAAGCCCAAAAGGCGAATGCGCTGAAAATGTAGGTTTTCCCACGGGAATGGGACGATTTTTGTTTTTGGAGGGCCTTCGCGGGGCGCCTCGTAGCACTTTTCCAGAGTCTTTAGGACTGATGGGGCCGTTTGGAGACAATCTTCGGCGTTTTGGAACGATCTTTCATCGACTTGTAGCTCTCTTGGACCGTTCCTGGACCGTTTTGAACCTTTTTGGCCCCGTCTGGGTCCTTCTGAGGCTCCAAGTATGCGTCCGACACCTTTGCCCCCCACTCCCCCCACACCCCGTCCAAACCGGCCGGACCGGGCCCCCGGGGGAGAGGGGTTTAGGGAGGGGGAAGCATTTCACACGCCGTGACCCCAAGGGGTCGGCGGATTTCCAAAATGGCCCAGGAGGCTCCCAAGACGGCCCCCAAATAGCCCAAAATACCCCGAAGACCGCATATCCAGCATGCTTCCGAGAGGCTCCAAGACGGCCCAAAGACGGCTGGCAGTGGCCAGTAAGCTCTTTAACAATGCCCTCGAGAAGCCAAAGTCATCGAACTCCATGCCCTGCCGGTGCGACCTGGAGGGGGTTGGCCCCGGATGCGTGGCGAGGAGGGCGGGGCGGCCGGCCTTCGATGCACCCTGGCTCGGCCCTGGTGGCGTGTACTACGGAGCCAGACTCGGGCACCCCTCTCCTTTGTTCAGCTCCTCCTCCGGTCCCAGGGCGGATCTCCAAATGCAATTGCCGCAGGTCCCATTACCACTTCCGAAGAAGCTCCAGAATCGCGCATCCATGCCTCATTGGCAGCTCGCGATGCGAGTTCCTTGGGCGCGGCTAGAACATAAGCGCGCGCGAAGCACGCGCGTGGTTCTAGTACATGTATATACTGACTCCTAAAGCAGAGCTTGCGCTCAGGGGATCCTGTTTGATTTCAGAGGAAGCGGGCTCCGTTGCGGGGTCCGCCGCCTTGTGGTCGCCGTCGCCGTCCCGTCGCCGTTTCGTCGCCGCCCGTCGTCAAGGCTACGTTGTTTCAGGCCCGCCGCTTTGTGGTCGCCGTCGCCGCTCCGTCGCCGCTGCCCCGTTGCACCCTGCCCCCGATGCAATCGTTGCAATCTGCTCGATGGCATTCCATCTGATTGCAATCGATTGGAAAGGCCCGTTTGCGGCCCCGTTCCCGCCCGTCGCCGCCGCCGCCCCGTTGCATCCCCCTTCCGTGACATTGCAATCGCTTTGCAGTGCAATCGCATTCCATTGTTTTGCATTACTCCGCATTGCTTCTCACTACATCGATTTGCATTACACTGCCTTGCAGTCCTTTGCATTGGATTGCATTGTGTTACATTGCATCGCATTGCGTTGCGCTACATTGCTTTGCATTGCCATCGACTTGTGTTGCATTGGCTTGCATTGTTATCGCATTGGTTTGCATTGCTCTCGCATTGTCTTGCACTGCTTTGCAGACCACTACATTGGTGTACATTGCATTGCAAGCGCGTTGCTTTGCATTGCGTTGCGTTGCTTTGCAGTGCTGTGTTTTGCAGTGTGTTGGGGTTATCCTTTATTCTCCTTTCTAAAAAGAGAATAGACTCCCCCCCCCGGAGTTATCCGTACCCCTTGCGGGTATGTAAATCATTTATGATTCTGACCACATGTCCATCCGACATATGAATTTACACTATCCCCGGGGGGCCGGGATCGGTCCCCCTGAAGTTCCCTTATAAAAAATAGTACGCGGGGGCATTTTTGGCTCTAACATAAGACTTTTTCACGAATCCCTTGCAAACAATGGGACGAAGTGCACACGCGCGCGTCGTCGCGCGCGCATGCCGAAATCCTTTAAACACCTTCGGTGTCGCAAGGATTTCGCAATCGAGTTCCCTCAAAACTTACAATAATACATGGTTTCGCAACGCTGCTTTGCTAAAAAAGCTGACGCGCGAGCTCTTGCGATATCTTAAGAAAACCATAGGTTTCTCGAGATGTTCACAAAATGCTACCAAACGGTCTACGCGCGCGCATGTCGAAATCTGTCGAACGCCCTTGCGCGTGTGCCGTCGTGAGAATCCTTTGGAAAAAATGGGACGAATTGCAGACGCGCGCGTCGTCGCGCGCGTATGCCGAACTCCTTCAAAACCCATCGGTTTCGGAAGGATTTCAAAATCGCGTGTCCACACAACCTACAAAAACACAAGGTTTCGCGACACGGATTTTCAACAAAAGCGTGCGCGCGCGCTCTTGCGTCGTCGTCGTCGTCGTCGCCGTCCTCCCTCCTCCCGCGTCGTCGTCGTCACCTACGTCGTCCTCTGTCTTTCGTCGTGTTCGTCGTCGTCGTCCTCTTTGGCGTCGTGGTCGTTTCCGTCGTCGTTGTCGCCGTGGTCGTCCTTCCTCCTCCTCCCTCGTCGTCGTCGTCGTTCGTCGTCGGCGTCTCGTCGTCGTCCCTCCTATTTCGTCGCCGTCGTCGTCGTTGTCGTCGTCGTCTTCCCTCCTCCCTCGTCGTTGTCGTCGTCGGCGTCGCCGTTCTTCCTCCTTCTTCGTCGTTCGCGTCGTCGCCATCCTCCCTCCTCCCTCGTCTTTGTCGTCGTTATCGTCGTTGTCGCCGTCGTCGTCCTCCCTCCTCCCTCGTCGTCGTCTTCGTTGGCGACGTCGTCGTCATCTTCGTCGTCGTCGTTGGCGTCGTCGTCGTCGTCGTCATCGTCGTCGTCGGCGTCGGCGTCGTCGTCGCCGCCGTCGTCGTCGTCGGCGTCGTTGACGTCGTCGTCGTCGTCGGTGTCGTCGTTGTCGTCGTCGTCGGCGTCGTCATCGTCCTCGTCTTTGTCGTCGTCGTCGGCGTCGGCGTCGTCGTTGTCGTCGTCGTCTTCGTCGGTGTCGGCGTCGTAGAAGTCGTTGGAGACGTCGTCGGTGTCGTCGTAGTCGTTATCGGCGGCGTCGTCGTCGTCGTTGTCGCTGTCGTTGCCAAGTGCCATTTGGTACCCACCGTCACGGTCTTAAGAGGTTTTGCAAACCAAGATGCGGGTGGGTGGGTGGGATGTTTGCAAGAGCATGGGGTGTGTCGAATCATGGGTAAAAATCATTTGCAACCCTTAGATTGCACCACATTGATTGTACCATCTAGATTGCACCGCATGCAGTGCAAGAACTCACTGTCAGGTGTCCACGCTGGCTAACACATTCCCAGATTTCTTTTCAAAGTGTGTGTGTATATATACACATGTACATACACATAGTTCCCAAACAGAGCAAATTTGCCTACTAGGGTAGCTTAGGGTTTCTAAGAGGGTTCTTGGGGTTCTTACTCGCCTTCTCAGGTAACTGAGCTCCAGAGGCGGGCGGTCTGGCCAGCTCTTCGCCGCCCGTCGCCGCTGCCGTAGCCGCTAGCAACTGAGCTCCAGTGGCAGCCCTGCCGGCTCGTCGCCGCCCGTCGCCGCTGTCGCCGCTGGATTGCTACGCATTGCAATCGCACTGCATTGCAGTCGCATTGCTTTGTTTTGGCTGTGCATCATGTTAAAGTGCCTTGCGTTGTTTAGATTTGCATTGCTTTGCTTTGGATCTTTGTGCATTGCTTTGAGTTGCACGTCTTTGCGTTGCTTCGCGTTGCAGCGCGTTGCATTGCGTTGCGATGATTTGTATCGGCTTGCATTGGTTTGCATAATGTTGCATTGGTTTGCACTCGACTGCACTGCGTTGTGATGGTTTGCATTGCTTTGCATTGCAATTGCATTGCATTGCATGTCGTTGCATTGCTGAGCATTTGTTGCATGTCTTAGCATGTCCTTGCATTGCGTTACATTACTGTTCATTGTTGTGCATTGTTTTGCACTGCCTTGCACTGCTTTGCACCACAGGGATTGTACCCTGTAGATTGCACCACATGGATTGCATGACCTTGATTGCACGGTGCATGTGTATAAACATATGCATATGTATATCTATATGCATTTTATAGTACAATGAAGCCATATATACGTAGAACACTGATCTGGCCAAACTTCGGGCCTGGTGGGGGCCGCTGAGTCCGGAGCGCGTCTGGAGGGCCCAGCAGATGGCTTCCAGAAGGCCCCAAGCTTGGCCAAGAGGGCTGAAAGACGCCCACGATGGCCCCAATACGGTCCTAGAGGCCCCCTATGCGCCCCAAGAGCGCCCCAAGAGTCCTCCCAGGAGACGGCTCGCCCAGAAGGCTTGCCCTCCGCCGATGGCATCGGTGGCCCCTTGCGCCCCCCGTCGCCCCCCAGCCTGCGGTCCTGGCCTTCTGCGAGTGCGACCGGGACTGGGCGGACCCGGAGTGCCGCACGCAGCGGAAGTCCCAGGCGGTCGCGTCGTTTGCCTCAGCGTCTGCGGGCGTTGAGAAATATGCACGTGCAACGATCCTGGCCAGGCCCGTCCTGGGCCCAGGGGCGGTGCATATGCCTCCCTGGCTCAGCCAGGTGGGCGTATGCACACATCCTGGGCCCAGGATGGGCCATGTGCATACGCTTCTTTCCTGTACATGGTGAGCAGGCGGACCCGCAACAACAGCAGCGGCGGCGGCTGCTGCCGCCGCAACAGTGGCAGCAGTATGATAACCATCAGCCGTATCAGCAGCAGCATCGTTGTCGGCCGCAGCAGCAGCAGGAGCGGCAGCGGCAAGGGCGGAAGCGGTAGAGGGCAAGTGCAAATCGGCCGCTCGCTCGCTGGTTTTGAGGCCCAGCCACTTTCCCATCCTGAGTGGTCGGAGCTCACGTGACGGGGGTCATTGAAAACTTGGGTCAGCCAGAGCGCCGGACCTTGTTGGATCTTGCAAAGCCAGGGTTGCATTGACTTGTCTGAGCGCGAAGGATCCTGCAGGATGTTGCAGGATTCTGCAAAGCCTGACTGACCCGGGTGTGCATTGATCCGGGTCAGTAGAAGCCCGAAGTGGTTCTCTCGCGCTAGCCCTTGCCACGCTCGACGAGCACGCGGGCTCCTGCTCGCGCAGCAGCCCACGCCCGGCGGGCGCTGGTCGGGGGAGCGACTGAGCGGCTCTGGGTACGGATATTTAGTGGTAGGGAATGCTGGTGGGCCCGCTAGTTGACCAGGGACCTGCAGAGGCGGCGAGCGGGGGGGAAGTGAGAAGGAGAAGGCCTTCTCAAAGATGGCAGTTTCTCAGAAGCTCTGATCAGTTTTCTGCGTCTTCGTGAAAGGATTAGAACAGAAAACTGTTCAGAAGGCCAAGGGACTTCATAGCCTCCTGAGAAGACCCGCCCCCTCTCACTTCCCCCCGGGCTCGCCGCCGAGCGTATTGGTCGTTACCCACGCCAACATCCCCCCTTCGGGTAGTGGTAACGATAGTACGTGGGGGGGGGGCCTGAAGCCCCTCCCATAATGTTGGTGTTCGCGCGCGTACTATGGCGATCGCAGCGCACACCTGTCCCGACGTGCCGCACCCCGCCCAAGCGGTAGTTACGGTGACCCGGGACCTCAACCCCTCCTTTTCCGGAGAACGATTGTTATTGGAAACATGGAAAACATTTTTGCGAGGCCAAGATGGAACAGGCCTTGTCAAGTGCGACATCCTTCGCTGCATCAGTCGGTCACTTGGCCCCCCGAGAAAAGAGCCTCGCTCTCTCTCTCTCTCTCTCTTTCTGAGAGCCGGCGTCGCAGCAGAAGACATAAGAAGCACCCAGACTTGGACGAGCGTGAAGCTCACGACTATCAGGAGGGGAAAAAATCACAGACATAATGAATCGTCCACTCCCAGAGAAAGTATGGGAAAATATGGGAAGTGGGGGGGAAGACAAAAACCTAGAAAATATTGAAAATATGGGGAATCCTGTTATTTGTGTGTATTTATTTGTGTGTCCCAGGGCCCCTTCAGACTAAGACTGCGGACGCCAATTTTCTGCAGCATTTGCCGAGCCGGATCGATCCGTGAGGCCCTCCATCCTCCGGCAACCCGGTGCTGCAGCTGCTTCGTGACGTCGGCCCCCGGAGGCTTCGACCTCTTCTCGGCAACACCCCAACATACTTATACTATATGTGCGTCGCCCCCCCAGGGGCGACGCGCGCACCGAGAAATCTTATAGTATATGCGTCGTGGCGGGCGCTTTCTGGCCACACCGCTCGGGAAACGATATACTACAAGATGGGTATACTATATGTTCGGGTCGGACGCGCGCCTCCAAGGAGGACATATAGTACTAGTATGTCTTTGTGCATCCCATCTTCCCCCCGGGGCAACACTTCCATCCTGAGTTGTTGTTTCGCGGTCACCGGGCCCAAAGTCCGAGGCGGGAATTTATCCATATCCACCGCCTGGAGGGTCAGTTTGCGGAGCCTCGGCAGGCGCTGGATATGGACATATTCGGGCCCCCGGGGGCCGAAGTAAATCCATATCCACCGCCCGCTGGGGCACCAGGACGTCGGTTCCCAGGCGGTGGATATGGATAAATCCCCGCCTCGCACAAAGCGCCGAAAGATTGGCCGTCACGATTGTTGTTGCGCCGCCCGGATCTTGGCGAGAAGCTTTGTTTACCGCGAGGGTGTCCACGATTCGGTCTGTTCGGCTGCGTCGCAGTCGGCTGCATTCGGTCGAATCGGCTCGGTCGGTTGTTGCGTCGTTACCGCGTCGCTGTGTTGTTCTTTTTCGCTGCCTCTGGTAGATGGGGTGTCGGTCGGTCTCAGTTTCGCCGTCGGTTCGGGCGAGTGTCGGTTGCGCTGTCCCCGTGGACAGCCTTGGTACCCCGAATTTGCCCCTCCGAACGACGTCGAGGTTCAGAATTCATTGCCGCCCGCATGTGCTTCCAGCACACACGCGCGTTCCGTGCGAGGGGTGTGCCAGAATGGGCGGGGGGACGCAATGTGAGCTTGCACATTGGTGCCGAAGCTGGAGCTCCCTACGGGCCCGATCTGTACGAGGGGTGTGCCGAAGTTCCACAATGCAGCGGCAGGGAGGAGGAGGAAGAAGTGGGGCGCGGCGCTGCGGAGAGATAACGGAATCCTGGCAGCACAGGATGGTTCGGATAAGCAAAGCTGAACATACCTTATCTGGGGCATGGAGGCTCCAGGGTAATCTTCTGGGGCCTCTTAGGGCCAAAGCTGAGCACAGTATTGGGCCGGTTTGGGCCGGCTGGCACCATCCCGGAGGCAGTCTTAAGATCCTTGGAGCGATCTTGTAGCCATCCGGGGCCCTCACGGACGCACCGACGATCGGCACACCCTTCGGGGAGCTAGGTCGGGGGCAGAGCTTCGGGCAAGAAGGGGCTGATTTCCCAGACCCGCTCGAACGAACGAACGAACGAAACCGCCGTCGCCGGGAAGGGCCGGCGTCCCTGCAAGGGCCGGCGTCCCAGACCCGCTCGAGTCATGAAAAATCACGACGGAAGGTGTTTCGCATTCTTCTGCCCCGCTAGGGGCCCTCGCCAGGCCTCGGGGTCGTCAAAAAACCACTCAGGATGAAAACCCGGTCCCGGGGAATGGGTCGAGACCTTTGGTGGTCGACGTTGTGAAAAGACATGACGTCGGGGGTCTGGATTGGAAGCGATGATTTTCTCAACCATCTCCGCCTAGTGGGCTGGTGGAGCTGAAGCAGTCTCCAGGACCATTCGAATTCCGAAGAGCAGAAACGAGTGGCAGATCTCATGGATCAGATTGCACAGAAGGCGAGGATGTTCACATGTGCAGGAAGAGCCTCGCAGCCAGCAGCATTGCGAAGAGGGGTGACATAAGAAGCAGTTGTCAGTAAGGTTCTCGCTCTCGCTGTTCGCTGGTTATGTGGGGCTGGATCACTTCTACCTCGGCGAGTACTACAGTGGCCTCCAGGGGAGACCCAACGGATAGGGGCCAGTGTGAGGGTCCATCCTCTCCGTTTTCTTCCCACCCTTCCCCTTTTCCTCTTCTTTTTCTCCGACTCATCATCATGCTTGGCTTCCTCCTCGCCAGTCGCGCAAGCATGCGCTAGTCTGACCGCATCGTCCCGTTCTCCCACGCAATCCATCGACATGTCTGCGTCATTAAAGAGGCGCTGTCGCGAACCCACGGCATGCTGTCAGCGAGAAGGTGATCAGTGTAGCTTTAGCTGTGTATCTTGCCACTCGCACCCGTGCTAGTTCGAGCAACAGATGGCACTTGAAGCCGGGTTGCAGGATCATGAGCCCCACAGGCAGCCCGCATCCCGACGTGAAAGAGGTTCCGGCAGAATCCAGCGGGCCTCTGGGGCCCAAGAGGGATACGAAAAGTGCACGCTTCTCCGCCACCCCATTGGTCGCCCCCCCCCTTATTAAGCAACGCGCAACTTCTTCACGAGCCCTCGCCTGCCGACGAACAAGCGCTTGCCAGTGGAGACCCGCGTCCGGAGGCTGGGCACCACTGCCCCGGGCATTGGTAGTTCGAGGGCAGCGGCGCGGAGCCGGTCGCGACACGCACGCGAGGCCAAGGACAAATCCCCAAACCGCATTCCTGCGTGAATGACACGAACAAAGTTGGCGCCGGTTGGGGCTCCAATGTGAGGTTCGAGGACCTGAGTTCGGGCAGTTTTTTGCCTGTTTCGGCCTGCGGGTGCTGTTATCGGGCCCCCAGGACCGTCAAGAACGGATCCGGGGTGAAAAACTGCACCGGTGGGGTTCGGGTGCCGATTTTGAGCGGATTGGGCTTCCTCCCCTTCTCCTGGCTGATCTCCTCGGGCCCAGCATTGGTTCTGGCCGTCTTCGAGGTCCTGGGTTCGGGAAGGTCTTTTGCCTCTTTTCGGCCGTCGGGAGCTGTTTTCGGGCGCCCGGATCGCCAAAAACTGGATCCGCGGTGAAAAACTGCACCACATGGACCCCGGGAGGGGTCTGGGGGCCGATTCTGAACAGATTTGGCTTCATCCCACCCTCCTGATTTATTTGGTTGGGCCCCAACACACCAGTCTAGGACCCCCTGGCCTCCTCCAGCCTCTTCCGTGTTTTCACAGGTCACCCGCGGGGAAGCGAAGATAGTCGCGCTCGCCCGCCGCGGTGTGGGCCAGAGCGGCTGCCCTTCTCCACGGGGGCGGTGCGAGGGCTCGAGGACCATCGGCGTCCCCCCAACATACTTATACTATGTGTTCGTCGCCCCCCCAGGGGCGACGCGCGAACCGAGAAATCTTGTAGTATATGCGTCGTGTCGGGCGCTTTCTGGCCACACCGCTCGAGAAACGATATACAACAAGATGGGTATACTATATGTTTGGGTCGGACGCGCGCCTCCAAGGCGGACACATAGTATTAGTATGTCTCTGTGCATCCCAGACCATGGCCCGGGGCACGAGGCGCGCAGCCAGGCGGCCTAGCTCTCGGCCATCGTCTGCCGACCCCGCCTCCCCAGCCTCCCCTGGGAGTGGGTCAAAATGGTACCCAGTGGCTGCCAAGCACCGGCGAGGCCTCGTCAAGCTCGGCACCCTCGGGGGCCTTGGCCTGTGGTGGGTCCTGGACGTCGTCCGCCTCGGCTCCGCGCCGGTCTACGCGCGGGGCGCACAGCGGCCGCCCTGCTGCGGGGGTGGGAGGCCGCGGAGGGTGGAGATGGCGACGAAGCGACGCAGAAACGACAACGAACTTGGGATTCGCTGGCATGGCGCGGCGACGACACGACGAAGTGAGCGACGAAGCGACGCTCCACCGAATCGGCTCATCGGCCAGATTTGTGAGGGCGGCGAGTTTGAAACAGGGTGGGGGGGGGCTGCAGGCGCATTTCGCGGATGACGCGGGGGGCGGCGGCGAGGAGTCGTCGGCGTGCCAGGAGGAGGAGGCGGAGGAGGCGGAGGCGGAGTCAGAGGCGGAGGCGGAGGAGGAGGCGGTGGCGGAGGAGCAGGCGGGGAGGAGGCGGCGGCGGAGGAGGAGGCGGAGGAGGCGGAGGAGGAGGGGTGGGGCCCTCGCGGAGCGACCGTGGCCGCCGGCGGAGAGGCGCGCGAGGGGCGGTCGCTCTCCGCACGCCTCGCGTCCTGGGCTGGGCGTGTTCCGATCCGATCTTTCCGATGCCGTACGGCAAGTCGGTGGCGAACAACAAGAGAACAGGCGAACGAAGTTTTGGCAGTGGTCGGCCTCCGGGGGGCCGTTGCCGGGCCCAGGGGCCGTCGGAGAAGGATCCGGGGTGACAATGTGCGCCAGCTGGGCCCCCAGGGGTCCAGGGACCGATATTGAACGGATTGGTGGCGAAATCCCAACCCTACCTATTCGATCCGATTCGTTTCGATCGGTCCGAGTCGATTCGATCTGATCGGTCCGGTTCGACACCATTCGATAAGGAATCCATGGGCTGGTGGAACACCAATTGAGGCCTGGCAATGGACATCACCACCGCCCCCATCAGATAAGGAAGCATCCAGGGTCTGAAGTCGCATGGTCACATTCCTTACCGAACGCCCCCACCATTCAAGCAGTGGCGAAGCGTCCCGGCGTGCCTATAGACCTACCAAGCAATGTTCTAATAACCTTTTGTGGTTTCCACGAAATGCTCTTAGAACATTTCTGGCTGGGACGCTTGCTTTCGCACATCGGGTTTATGTTCTAAGAACATTGCTTTTGTTATTAGAACATTTTGGGGCTCTCAGACCAGAACATTTTGTGGTAGGACTACGTACAGGAATGCCGGGACCGTCGGTCCCTGCTCAAATCATATCGATTCCGCCCAACCCCATCCGATTCGGCTCCGAAGTTCCGGCTATCCGATGCGTCCCGATGTCGGCGTGGCGCTGCTATGCGTCCTGGCGCGGCCGATCCGATTCGATGCTGGCTGATCCTGGCCTGCGGCCAGAGGGTTTGCCCTTCTCCAGGGAGGCCGCGCGAGGATCGAGGGTTGCAGTTGCTAAAGGTGCCCCTGGCCCAAGGTGCCCCAGCTTTCCGCTCCATTTTAGAGCCCCTTGGGCCCTCTGGGCTTCGTGAGGGTTGCTCTGGAGGCCGTGGGGGCCTCCATTTGAGCACCTGGGGCCAGGGGCACTTCTAGCAACATTCGAGAGGATGTGGCCGCACCTCTCGTCTCGCGTCTCCCTGAGATCCGGGCGTCGCATCTTTTCGTTGCACGCTGGGCGATGTCTCACACCAGCGAGGGGGTTGCGAGGGGGGGCCGCTGGACCTGCCTGAGAAGGCGGAGAGGAGCTCCGCAGAAGGCGGGTGCCGTCCGAGAAGAGCTGTGGAGGCTTCCATCCCAGACCCCCTCGAGTCATGAACCAATCACGACGTAAGGTTTTTCACTATGTTCGGCCTCTGGGGCCCCTACCGAGCCTCGGGACCGCCGAAAAACGATTCGGGATGAAAAAACGGTCTCGGGGAATGGGTCGAGACTTTGGGGGGTCGACGTTACGAAACAAAAAAATGACGTCGGGGCCAGGGAGGAGGGCTTCTAAGAAGCCAGGAGGTCTCCTGAGAAGCCGCACGCCTTCTCAGAGTCACCCGCCTCCCTTCTTGGAAGGCTGGCCCCCTTGCGCCACTCCGTTGTGCCCGCCGCCAGTATGGATTAGCTGTCAGCCCACGACAGAGGACAAGAGGAGGGAGGTTGAGGCAGAGGAGAGAGAAGACGAGGATGAGGAGAGATGGAGGAGCAGGAGGAAGAGGGCGTGGGGGCAGGGGGAAGAGGGGGCTGTGACGAGCAGGGAGAGGACGAGCTGGATAGATCCAGGAGAGTGAGTGCGAGGGCGGGAGGGTGCGTTGAGGTATCCCCGTGGAGTTTCTGGTTGGATGAGCGATCGCCGAACGCTGGCCATCGTATCCCTGATTGAGTGTGTGCTGTTACATGCGGAGTACTGATGGACATTGCTGATATGGAGAGTGGCGGACCAAAGTCGAGGAGAGTTTAGGGGAAATCTCAGGCAGGACTGGGGCGTTCGCTTTATCCACTCGGTATGGCGCTCCGTCGTCACACCTTTACCTCCCTGGCTTGCCCGCATGCTTTGCCGTTCGCATACCGCCTTCTTTGCATATGTCTGATCTCCTGCAGCCCCCGTCGCCGTCGACGGGGGGGGAAGACCATGAGACACGCACCACCGAGGTCCAGTGGTTTCCGGCTCGCCGCTGATCTCCCGCACTGGATATACGTGGCGGGGTTTCGGGACGTGATGGCCCGTGCAAGTGCAAAGGAGGGAACATGCACCGTGGCAGGGTTTGCCGTCGGTTGCGGTTCAGATTCCGTTCCATGCGCCAGGCGAAGGTTGCCCTCAGGTCGGAGGGGGCGCAGGGGATGAGGATGAGGCGGAGGAGGAGGAGGAGGAGGAGGAGGAGGAAGAGGTGGAGAACGGCAAGATCTGGGCACTGCATTTTGTCACACCCCGTGTTCTCGCACGATACATGAGCTCGAGGCGTCTTGGTTCGTTTAAAGCATTGGATATCTAGGGGTGGGGAGGAGGATAGACGAGGCGGAGAGAGCAGGAAGAGGAAGAGGAGGAGGCCTCTGAGGTGCCACTTGGAGGTTGGCGGCTGGATCGGCTGTCAGGCAGGACCGAGCAAGGAGAGCCGAGCCGGACCCATCCCCCGAAGCAAATGGACAAGAAGAGGCAACATAGGGGTGTCCGCGGTTCGATTGTCTCGCAGATGGCTGCATGAGGTCGGTTCGGTTCGGTCGGCCTGTGCGCCGCTGCGTCCTGCTAGTCTGGTTTCAGCCGGTCGGCGTCGATTTCGCCAGCAGTTCGGTCGGATTCCGATTCGGGTGTCGTTGTCGACGTCTGCGGAGGAGGGCAGCAGAGGTCTTTGAATTGTGGGGGCCGCCCGAGGCCTCCTGGGCCCAGACCTCTGGCGTCGTGATTCTGTTCCGTACGGGGTCCTTCGGAGCTCTCGACCCGTTTCCCGGGGACCCGTTTGTCATCACGGAGTGGATTTGCTAGTCCCACGGGCAAGTCCGGCACAGCGTCGTGCGCAGAACAAGCGCCATCAACTTGCACCTGATCGGTCTGTCGCAGCGATCGTGGGCAGCGTGTGGCGGAGTAGAAGGAGGGATGGGGCCGTGGCGTAGGAGGAGGAGCGGGAGGAGGTCAGGGCTCCGTGGTGGTCCTGTTCGCCTTGATCGGCTACGGCTTCTTCGCTGTGATCAACCCAAGCGCAACCAAGCAGCGCAAGCTGAAGAAGGCCATGCTGCAGGCTGCCCGCTGGGGTGTGCGGGTGGCTCCCCCCCCGTCATGGTTTCCCCAACTCTCCCGTGAGGCGGATGTTCCATCCTCCTTGTCCTTCTCTTCTGGCTTCTTCTCCCTCTCTTCCCCTGCCGCTTGGCTCCTCCTCCCCGGGGGCTGATGAGAGTCTGGCGCGTGTGATGCTGTCTAGTTCGCTTGAAGCATCTTTCAGTTCATCCCCTCTCCTCTTCCTCCTCGTCCTTCCTCGCCTCTTCCTTCGCCCTCCACCCTCCTCTCGCAACTGCAGGATTCAAGCCACGGTTCATAGCATGAGTGTGCCTGTTGCAGGTTGGCTTGTCGTGTGTTCCCGGTTTGCCCCGCGACCTTCTGATTCGCGATGTGATTGTGTATCCCATGGTGTTTTGCGTGGACTGCATTGTCGCCACTTTCGCGGGTGCTGAAAGGTCGAGCGGAGCGTTGCCCTACGCGCATCCAGACAGGACCTCGTTTCTCCCTGGGGGTTGTCAATTGCGCAATTCTCCCCACTTTCGTGGGCTCGTGGGAGGTCCAGCGGCTCAACGGCCTACGCTCGCCCACACGAGACCTCGTGGTCCCAGGAAGGGTTGCCAACTGTAGAACAGTCACCACTTTCGCGGGCGCTTGGGAGGTCCAGCGGAGCGCAGTCCTACGCGCATCCAGACGGGACTTAGTTGTTTCCTGAGGGGCTGCACATTTGCGCAGTTGTCGCGAATTGCGTTGGCTCAGTTGCTCATAGAGGTCCAGCGGAGCGACGCGACACTGGACCTCGCTCTTCCTGAAGAGGCTGCCAACTGTGCAACCGTCCCCGCTTTCGTGAGCTCCTGGGAGGTCCAGCGGAGCGACGGCTTACGTGAAGATGTCGTAGCCTATCTCCAACTGCTCTGGAGAGTACCGCTAACATTTCCATATGTTGAAGATTTGTTGAGTACGTCTCTGGGTAGATTACCCATGCTTGTCCTCCACCTCTCCCTCCCGCTCCTACTGTCCTCATGGAAGATGGGTGCTCAGGCTCCTCCTTCTCTGTTCCTCCACCTCTCCTGTCAGGGGTGGAAGGGGGAGCACGGATCGATCCAGCCCAGGGCTACCGCGTAAAGTTGGGGCTTTGAGCTCTGGTCGTGGTGTGCAAAGATGCTGACTGCTTCGCGATGTCGGACCTCAGGGTAGGTCGGTCCTCGAGGAGGAGGGCCCGGGCGGGCATCCGATGTCTGGAGTTGTTCCACGCAGGGCCCCCAGAAGTTCGGATGCAACTCCTGGGAGGTCAAATTCTGATTTTGCCCTGGTCCGAAATCCAGCTTCGTCCGGCTTCATCCCGCTTATTCCGGCTTGATCCCGCTGAATCCCGCTCAATCTGGCTTAATCCACCTTAATCCTGCTCGATCCAAGGCCCACTCTGGCTTAACAGCCCCCCAATGGGGCTCAATCCTCCTTAATCCTTCCGACGAAAACCTCCCAGTAGGTGCTCACTAACCTTTCCCAGGGCCTGCGTGTCACCCTGAGTATGTGAGGGTCCCGGGGCCTGGCGAAGGCCGCCAGAAAAGTCTGAGCGGCGCGCTCCAGAGGGTGGCGCGAGGGGGGCGGCCCCCTGAGCAGCTCGAGGGGCTTCTGGGAAGGCACGGGGGGGGCCTCGCAGGAGCCATCCTGGCTTCTTGACGTCTTAGAAGCATCCTGGCCACTCTAAGACGGCGCCCGCCTCGCCTCGTAAGAAGCGCCCCCGCTTTCTCAGAAGGCCACCTCCCTCGCGCCACCCCCCCGCGCGCGCGCCGCCGAACGCCGAAGACTGCCCACAAAAGACTTCCATGTTGGTGTGGTCAGAGGCTTCGGGCTGCGCGCAGATACAGGCGGCCCGTATTAGTAGGCCGACCCTGCCAGATGAAGGGTACCCTCGTGTCCTGTGCCTTGCGACCCATGCCTCCTGCAGTTCTGTGGCGACGTGGCCCCCGGAATGGTCTTGTGTCCTCTCGCGTGTCCTCTCCAATCAAGTCCGACTGTAGCTCGCCCAGGCAGGCACGGCTGCACAGACGGCCCCTCTGGGTAGTCCCTACACCTTAGGCGATGCTTAAGAAAACCTAAGTTTTCGTCCAGAGTCTCGATTATTCTTAACTCTTCAATGCAAATCCCAAGATTTTGATAGAAGTTCTGGGTTTTTATTCAATTTCTGAGACTATGAATTTCTTAACCCATGATTTCTTAAGCATTTCGCAGGGTGTACTGGTCTCGACAGGCCCCCGATCAGTCCCAGCTGGCCTCGGCAGGCCCCCCGAATCGCCCAGGGCGGTCTCAACATTGCGACGCCGCCCATGGGCGACGCCCATGGGGCGCTCCGCACCCCAGGGCTGAGGTGTTGAGACAGCCATTTGCTACTCGGGGGGCCTGTTGAGGCCAGCTGGGACTCGTCCGGGGGTCCGTTGAGGCCAGCCGTGATTACCTGGGCGAGCTGTCTGTGCGCAACCCGAAGCCTTACCGTTCTTGATGCGTGTCAAAGTGTTTGATGCCCGGTGGCTCCTCCGAGTCCTACCGATCCCGCTGAATTTAGCTCATTGCGGGCGAGGTTTGTCGAAGGATGCGGAGCTTGCGTTATAGACGGAATAATCTAGAACGGCAGACGAAAGCCTTCCGTCTCGTTGTTTGCCAAGGCGGCGGAGGAGGAGGAGGAGGAGGAAAGGAGGAGCAGCAGCACCACGAGGACCAGGAGGAGGCAGAGGAAGAGGAAGGAGAGGAGGATGGTGAGGATGGGGAGGAGGAGAAGAAGGAGGATGAGGAGAAATGGAGGAGGAGCAGCAACAGCACGAGGACGACGAGGAGGCGGAGGAAAGGCGAAAGATGGGCGGGAGGAGGAGAGGAGGAGGACGAGGAAGGGGAGGAGGAGGAGGAGGAGGAGGAGGAGGAGGAGGAGGGGCACAAGAGGGGCAAGGAGGGGAAGGAAGAGAGAATCAGGAGAGAAAAAGATCCCGATCTACCCTTCCCTCGTCGCCACACTGGATTCGCCTCGAAATCCTGGTCAAATTGCGCCCTGGGGGAGGTCTGGGGAGTAGCGGTATCCGCAGTGTCCAACACGTGTTTGAAACAATGATGGCCCCATCCCCCCCCCCGGATCCCGATTGCCATTAATTCGCCGCCGAATAAGTATGTTTTTATTGTCCCCCCTGGAGACCGAACAATGCGAGTGATGCATACACATATGTATCACGCGTTTGGTTTCCGCGTCCAGCGCGGCCAACTCCGCAGGGCCGCCGCGAGTGCGGCGGCCTCCGCAACCGAAGCGATGCGGCCTTGCCATTGGCGGACTGCGCGTTGTCCCACGCAGACTGGGCGCTGTCCCACGGCACCCTTGAAGGTATGCATGGAGTGGTCCCTGAGCGCGGTCTCGATCCACTCCAGGTCGCAGGGCGTGTCAGGTGTAGCATTGTCGCGGCCCAGAGTCTCTATCTACTCCACGGTCGCAGTGCGTGGCAGGCGTGGCTTGCGGAAATATGCCCTTGAACGCGGAGCGCCAAGGCGGTCGCGGGGATGCCCCGGGCGGTCGGGTTAGTCCCGCCTTCCAGTTTTTCTTCCTAGATGCGCAATACAGCTAGATGCGCAATACAGCGTTGGGAATGAACATTTTCATTTGTCCACCAGATCTGTTTGTTCAAGTGTTTTAGACATTATCGCTGTGTCCCCCCAACAAGCTGTAGCATGAGAGGTCTGTTTTGCGTGTTCATGGTTCTTTGTATGTTCATGAATGTTCGGGGTCTTGCGACTAAGTGTTTCGCTCTCATGTGGCGTGTCTTCGCTGCACTTTGCGAGCGCTGACGAGGAGTGCGACCGTCGTCGTGCGCCCTCCCATGCAGGTCACAAGTCCAAGGAAGGGATGAGGAGCATGAGGACGATAATGAGCGTGAGGGCAGGGGAAGAGGGATCCGGGTTCACGATGTATTTCGAGCTGGCGATTCTAGCCTCATTGGAGGAGGAGCGCAACGCGAGCCTCAGCCCACAGAAAGGGATCATGCTCGGAAAGCGCCGAAAAGAAACGTTCGCGCCAATTTTCGGTATCGCATGTTGCCCCCGACCGTATTTTGTCCACCCGCCCGCCCACATAAGAAAAGGGCGACGGCCCAGGACATGCCGAACGATTGCCAGGGAATGTCAGATGGAATTCGAATGGACCTTTTGGAGGTCGCCGTTTAGATACCTCGCTCAGAGAGCCTCGTGGCGTCGCCATTGGCTGGAAAAAGGTGCTGGTAAGTATGGGCCCGTCCGCCAACAGTTGTTCTTTGTGTGCGGACGGGGAGGGGAAGAGAGAGCGGGGAGCGGGGGAGCGCGAGGGGAAGGGGAAGGAAGGCAGCCGCTCCAGGCAGAGGAGGACTTCTTCAAGACGCGGAGCGCCACCGCAGAGATCAACGCAAATGACGCCGTGGGCATGCCCGTCAGGTCGTCGTACCACGTCCCGTTGCCGACCGGCTTCAGTTACGGCACCATGATCCCTGAAGAGGTCATCCCCTCCACATTTCGACTCTACACCTAACGGTGGCCCTTCGCTGGAGGAGCCTTTGGTGCGGGCCCACTGGTGTCCCCCGATCGCGGAATGCGATGCGGTAGCAGCGGTTTGCGCGCTTGGGTTTGCGCTGTGTAGCTGCACCTGCCAGACGGCGCCACTGCGCCTCGGCCGACGCGTGGCCATTCTGGCGATACTCGTTGTCAGACCAGGCGCGGGTGTGAAGCCGACTGACCTGGGACAGGCGACCGGTCACACATCCCACGACCGAGACACAAAGGCAGACGCCGATGGTATCCATGGATTGGCACGGCAGCCCAGGTACATCTGGCACGGGATTGGCCCTTAGCACCTGGCGAAATTGACGACCAGCATGGACGCGAAATTGTTCCGAAAAGTTCAATACTTCAAAACCACAACACAGCAAACAAACAAAGCTAAACGTGTTGAGCAGCAAAACAGAATCGAACAGTAGAACATCGATTGGGTCGCACCTTGGTTGTAGCCCGCGATCGGAACGAAAGACTACCTCGGTGGCGCGTGCCCAAGGGCAGCTTGCGAAGTCATAGCTGGAGGCGTCTTCGGTCACCGACACCAAGGTTCCGATGTTCTGGTAACGACAACGGCTTTTTCATATCGTCGCGTCGCACCGAGCCACCCTAGGTGTCAAGGCCTGTCTGCAGCCCAGCATGCGGAATTCCCCCTCTGTCGGTGCGACGGCGCGGAGCGCCAGCGGGAAGGAAGAGTGAGGCGGCGGTGCATGTGGGAGACGATTGAAGGTGGCTTAGCATCGCTCGGACGTGCGCATGTTTGTCTCGGCGAGGGCCCTCGAGGAGTATCCTGGGCCATCTTGCGAAAAAGTCCACGCACGAAACCGAAAGATACATGAGGAATGGACGTCCCAGCGATGGCGAGGTGGGAGGCGATTGCAGGCCCTGGAGGGCTGTCGAGGGAAGCAGGGAGGTGTGGCGGCGCGCCCGGGGGGGGGGAGGGGGGGGGCCGTCTAAGAGGGCGCGGTATGCTCCGAGGGGGCGGGTGGCTTCTGAGAATTCCTCCTCCTCCTCCTCCTCCTCCTCCTCCTCGGCCTCCTCCTCCTCGCTGCCGCAGAACAGTAATCGGGAGCCCCGAGGCCCTTCTAGAAAGCCACCCTGCCTTCCAAGGTGCCCCCGCTATCTTCGAAGGCCGCCCCCCCTCATCGCCACCCCCTTGTGCGCGCCGCCAGGAGGCGGAACGCGGCCCAGAGGGGGGGGAAGAGACGGACGAGGGAGGAGGAAGGGCACACCATTGGGAAGAGAGAGATGGCACATTGGGGAAGAGCTCGCATCAGGGAGGAAGGAACGGCGAGAGAGGGAAAAGCAACAGGGCAGGCACGCAGGGCGCCTGGATGGGAGGGGCGACATGGTAGCACTCCGGGCCCTGCTTAGCATCTGCAGGTGAGGAGGGCCAGCTTCGGCAACCCGATGGCCTCGTACTCCGTCTTCAACGACCAGCAGGCGCTGCCGGTGCACCTTCATGCGCCAAGCCCTACTGCGTACCGGGCGGGTCTAGGACTGGGATACATCGTCCCAGAGCGTTACGGAACGCTCTCAAAGCGTTCCAGGGCGCTCTGGAAGGGCTGCAGCGCCCGATACATTCTTTAGAGCAGCCGCGAGTCATCTGAGTCCGGTTTTGTCTTGGTTCAGGTTTCGTCTATGTATACATGCGCGGGCACAAGTATCAGACATAAATGTTGATTCGCGCGTATGCCAGACGATTCACTTAATTGAGCTCCCGTTTTTAGATTGTAGAGATCGGCGCAGATCTCATACTGAAGGATCATTGCGGCGAACTTGCGGTGCTCTTGGGGGACATTGGGAGCCCTCTTCGGACCAGGATTTCGAGGCGATTCTAGCAGTAGCGGCAAGGGCATCCCAGGGCAAACAAATAGCAGTTTTATAGTATCAGTGCCCGTTCCTCCTGACAGGCATCCGATGCCTTGTTTGGACCGCTCGGGGCCCGCAGAAAAGTCCATGCACCCCTTCCGCACCACCAACCTTTCGCCTTACCTGCTCCTTTTCCTTGCGCGCACTGCCCGACGTACAGACTGCTTCTGCTTCCGCAGCTATACCACGTTGGCTCTAGGGAGACGGAAAACGAACGAGCCTGCGGCGCGCGCGCGTGCGTCGGCCGGCGGACCGGCCTCGCCCCTTCAGTGTTACCTTAGTGTATGTTTGACGGCATGATCCCGTCTTCCCCATGTCATCGGCGGACCCCACGGACCATGATATTCGATCGGAGCATATTGCAGCGATTATGTATATCCAGGAAAAAAGGCTGGTTATCAGCCGAAACGACGGCACAGCCAGCTTCGCAGAGCATGGGATCACAAGAAGGAGCGCTCGGACGAACAGAAAATCGATGCCCTCTCCGAGCGCAACGAAAGTATAGGCGCCTCAACGAGGCGACCAAATCCTCTTAACCTTCCCAGGAAGCAAGCATCAGAGATTGTGTCTGACTTGACAGAAGGGGATTCATCGGTTGATTCGGTGGCAAGATCCAGAGCGCAATCCTCGGGTGGAACGTATGGCACAGCCAAAACTTTGGCCGAGGGACCATATGAGTTGGCGTCGGTACACCCTGGCTTTCAGCCATCGATCGACATAGACCTTGAGATGGAAAAGTTGTTGGATCACATCCCCATCGGAATGTCGGGCGCCGAAAGTTTAGGCGCAGGACATGCGGCGCAGATCGCGTTGCATGGACAGTGCGAAGATATGAGCGACTTGCAATCGGAAAGGGATAGTTTTCAGTCGATTTAAAATAATGAAGAATATGCCCGATTCCACACCTCGCCTGGTCCATCGCATCATCTCGATCCCTCCCCCGACCGGTGTGTCGGGCTCGCCTCAGGTTCAGACCCGTTAGTAAGTACGACGATTGATCATGTAACGGTTGAGGCCAGTCAGAAGGCCATTCTTGATTCGGACGACGATCTCGAAGACGGAGGAAGGTCTGACCGAGGTGGACGCCCGTCGGCGCAGCCGATGTCGAGCTACCCCGACGCAATGCGCGCAGTGAGGAATACGCGAGAAACAACAGGCATGACTCCCCATCCATTGACGAAGAAACCGATGGGTGAGAACGATGACTTAGATTTGCAGGGTTCCTACAGACCAGACTTCTCGTTGCCCAGGACTAACAGGCACGGGGTACCAGAATTTGATGAGCTCGTAATGCAGGACGAAAAATGATTTAGCGCAGAGCATTGAAATTGATATCATCAGGAGGACTGCAAGAACAAGAGAACAACACACGACTACCCCCAGCAGTGAAAGGGACGTTCCAGTAAGGCCCCCGGGGCCGCGCGTTCCACTTCCAGGGGGTTTAATGCCCTTGAATCGCCGCGGATGTCATCGAACAGAACCACCGGCAGCATCTCGATGCGGGAGGGCTGCTGGAACGGCGGGCCCACATGCTCCGCGCGGGCGGAGAATCGATGCCCAGGGAAGCGCACGAACCGGGGGCTTCATGTAGAAGGCCAGCGCGTTCCCAATAGTCGAATGTTTGCCCCAAATGTAGTCTGGCATGGCTCCGTGGGGAGTGCATCACGATGGAAAAGCACAGCTGCCATCATATCGCAATTCAAGAGTGGGCGGAAAGAAATGGACAGGATGGGGAACAGCTGAGGGCTGCGAGCGCACATATACAACATACCATTTTTGAGGCACAGGAAAATAAGAAGGCCGCTGAAGAGGCTCAAAGAATGCCTGCTGCTTCCGAGGTCGAGGGGCAGGCAGTGGCACAACAGATAGAACATGAGAAAACCATCATTGTGGACAATGCGCAGAAACAGATACAGCATACTGAGGCTAACGTAGCAGGAGCTCCAGACGAAGCCCAACGGCGCCTTGCCCAAGAGGAGACTGAACGATTGAGAACCCAGATCATAGCCGAACAACTGGTCAGACTCTCAAAAGAAGGCTGAGAGGGAGAAAGCTGAATACAGAGAAAAGGCTGATGCAGCGAGGAGGGAAAGAAAGAAGCCCGAGAACAAGCAGCGCGCGAAATCTGGAGCTCCGCAATCAACTTGAAGCCGCTAGACTCGAGGCCGAAAAAGTAAAATCGGAAGCCCTGCGACCCCTTCGAGAACAAGAGCAGAAGGCCCAGGTAACCAGAGATGAGGACCAGAAAGGAATGGCCGTTGCCTGAACAGATGCGAAACAATGTTCTTGCCACTCGGGCGGCGAGTGAGGAAATCAGGAGGTGAAGGTCTGATCTGGAGCAACCTCGGATGGACAAAGAACCACGGGATAAGGTTCGGTGAACCAGGCAACCTGCGTCATAATCTTTGCCACAAGTAGGGCCCATGACTACGGCCTCGCCGGCAGAAGTGGGCCCCGGGGAAGTGGTCGAATCAACGCCGGCACAGCCGGCGCACGTTGCGCCGCCTCCTCGCCCGATCGCTGCTCGCCCCATGAGGAAGCCTGGCGCCTTGCGAGCTCGAACGCGAACGTGCACTCCGAGTCAGATTTGTCACATCTGTACAGGACCTTCGACCGAAGTATGCAAAGGTTGCTTGAAGCGCACGCGCGGGGATCATTATCCGGATATGGGCACCAAACGTCGCGATGAATGCGCTTGGGGGAAAACGTTTGGACAACAGGGTGATCGCGAGGAAAGAGAAGAACCCCGAGGCCTACCTGATACTCAGCCGGCAAACAATGATCCCAGTGAAAAGGCACCGAGACACTTGGCTTCGCCTCAGGATGTTGAACCCGAACGCCAGATGAGCAATTTGGCCGTTATTATGGGCATGCCAGTATTCAAATCAGAAAAGTCTGATTTTTGCCAGATGCCGATGTTGACCGCTGCGTCAATACCAACGCTTCCTCTCACACAATCGCACATTCGCCCCTGGGCCGGCAGTCGAGAAGACTCTTGGAGCGAGTGAAGGTTCGATATGGGGGGGCGCCCAAGGAAGGAATCCCGGGAATGCCCCTTTCAATGCCAAGATATCACAGCCCCCTAACAACCTCGACTTGCCCGGGCACCCCCTTTTCACCATCGGCCCAGCCGTCGCCTGCGAAGGAGGTGGAGACTCGCGGGGGGCCACGATGACGATCAGAGAGACGACCGGAGTACAGCCCCCAGCACAGGCATGATCGCTGCGATACAGTTCGATGCAGCGGGCAAGCCCAAGCCACCTGGAGGCCCCCCAGGGGGGCCTGGTGGCGACGGCGATCCAGACGGAGTCGGCGGCGGGGGGCCGAATGGCCGCAGTGGCCCGTCCTGGCGGCCGTCTCGCGCTAATCGAATTGACGTAAAGTGGAGGAACTTTGGAAACAACAGAGAACTAAAGTTGCTAGATATACCGAGCGCCCAGACACTCCGAGAATGGCATATGAACGGTAGCTGGGCCATGGCATGATGTTCGCTCGGCACAGACATGGGCCACTGAAGCCATGGAACCGAATGCACCCAAGGAAACCTTAGAGACTCCGGGGCATTGATGCGCCTTGATACGACGATCGCTACGAATATGCTTGAGAAGTTTGCAAATAAGGCGTAACCAACGCCTGTCGGCGCAGCATACTTAGTTCCTTTCACAAAACAATCGCACGGAGCACTCGTGCCAGATAGAGAGACGTCTCCTAGCGGGCCGAGACATGATGCGAGCAAAATGCGCTTGGTGTTCTGTGAGATCGGGGAGTGGGCAACGCTGGATATGCCGTGACCTCTTCAAACTGATCATCGATCGACAGATGCCCCACCAGGACTTGCATCATTTCTATAGTGAATGGATGGAGCGGCACCAAGAATTGCGCGGTGCCAGGGAAGCGTCGGATCAAATGAAGTCTCCAATGCTCCCACATCGCTACGAACAGATTCGACTGGCCCCGAGGCCTATGTACGCCATGCAGTGGCATGAACTGTCGACAGAGCCCCCGGGCACGGGGATGCGCACATATCAATGGCTCTTGCTCCAGGTAGAATCTCTCATGATGCGGGACAGAGGACAGTGGGCAATCTCTGAACATGAATCAATCGACCCTCAATTCTAGAAATAGAGAGGCCCGCCTGACAGGTGGGACGAACGAGGGTGGCGGGGGCAGACGAAGAGCCTCTGCCATGGCGGCAAACGTCCATCGATTAGGACTGCCTATGGATACGGCGGCGAAGCAAGGAAATAATGGCCCCGAAGCAGGACAAAGCTGCCTTGTAATCGCAAGAAGCCCAGGACACCTTCCGCACTGGCACAGCCGGGTGCGGGCGGTGATCACAGAGCCGCCGGCGGAAAGAATGATCGTAGCGGCAGGAATGAAAGGTCTGCGAGTGAAGGCCCGAAAGGGAAGGGCCGGCCTCGCTCCTCGACTCCATCGAATAAACTCGGCAACTCGAATGCGGCACAGTCGCGGACGTGGAGTCAGTCGGAGGTCTCGCGAGAACGCCAAAGCAAGATGGCGTGCTACGCGTGGTCGCGAGACCCTCGCAACTGCAAGAGCCCTCAGAGCGG